CCATCTCCAGCCTCGGGGAGCAGCTGGAGGAGCCCCCTGCCCCATCCCTGGGAGCTGGGGATGGACCAGCCGTGTCGCTGCAGCTCCAGCCCTGCTCCTTCTGTCCCAGGAGCTTTCCAGGGCTCAGCTGGGGGGGTTTGGCTGCTCAGGGAGCACGAGGCTGGATGGAAAACCAACCATGACCCCCTTTAGGGGGGAAGCAGAGGGGGAACAGAGATGTTTCTCCTGACAAGGTTGGTTCCTCTGCGAGCTTGTGGGCAGCAAAGAGCAGGCAGCGCTGTCCTGGGCTAACGCAGCACCTGAGGAGGAGAACGTGAGTCCCCTGGGCTGGGGGTGCTCTGGAGATGCTCTGGGGGTGCTCTGGGCTTCCCTGGTTGTGTTTGACCCGTGGGATCAAGGTGACTTCTTGCCTTTCAGCCCTGGGGTTTCCCAGCCCGCGAGTTCCTGCGGAAGAAGCTGATCGGGAAGGAGGTTTGCTTCACTGTGGAGTACAAGACCTCGCAGGGCCGGGAGTATGGGATGGTGTACCTGGGGAAAGGTGAGTGCTGAGGGGTCCCTCGGGGACCTGCAGGGCTGGGAGGGGGCCACGGAATGTGTGGGGGGAGCAGCTGGAGCTGCTGTCTGACAGGGTGGCTTGGGGTGCAGGGTTGGCTGCAGAAGGATGCACGGCTGGTTTTCCATGGAGCTCCTGATTCTGGAGGGGACCAGTGCCTGGTGGGGGTCCCTGGTGCCTTACAGTGGTCCCAGCAGCCTGGGGGGGTCCCTGGCTGCCTGCTGGGGGTCCCTGGGGGCCTGCAGGGCTCTGCAGAGCCCAGCCCCACCTGTGCTCTCTGCAGCTGCAGCCACTGGTAGGACACAAGCCTGTGGGGTTGGGTGAATTCCTGCAGGATTCTCCTTGTTGTCCTTTGTGTAGTTAGAAATCTCTTGCTCACCTCTGGATGATCTTGGAATCCCAGGCTGGTTTGGATGGGAAGGGACCCTAAATCTCATCCAGTCCCACCCCTGCATGGGCAGGGACACCTCCCAGCAGCCCAGGCTGCTCCAAGCCCCATCCAACCTGCCCTTCAACACCCCCAGGGATGGGGCAGCCACAGCTTCCCTGGGCAACCTGGGCCAGGCTCTCCCCACCCTCACAGCCCAGAATTTCTCCCTCCCATCTCAGCTCCAGCTCCCTCTGCCAGCTGGAAACCCTTCCCCCTGCTCCCATCCCTCCCTGCCCTTGTCCCAAGCCCCTCCCCAGCTTTCCTGGAGCCCCTTCAGGCACTGGGAGCTGCTCTCAGGTCTCCCTGGAGCCTTCTCTTCTCCAGGCTCAACCCCCCAACTCTCCCAGCCTGTTGCCATAGGAAAAGTTTTCCATCCCTCTGATCATTTTTGGGACCTCCTTGTCCCAAAGACACTCCCTGCCACTTTGATGGCACCTGGAGCCTCTCCTGAGCTGGAAGCAGGGGGGGCACCAGAAGCCAACAGCCAGGCTGGGGTGAGCAGGGTGGCATGGGCAGAGCAAGCAGGATTGCATGGAGACCCAGGGAGGGAGGAGGTGGCCTATGATGGGATGGGAGAGGTTCCCTCTGGGTCCATGGCAGGAGCTGCTGGTGCCTCTGGCTGGGCAGGACAAGGGCTGATCCCTGCTGGCTCCTGGCTCCTCCCTGCAGATGCTCAGTGGGTGCCTTTCCAGCTTCCCAGGGAGGATGGAGCTCCCTCCTCAGAGGTTTCCAGGCTTGGCTGGGTGTGCCCAGGGCCAACATGGCACAGGGTGGGCAACAGCCCTGCCTGGAGCCCCTTTCCACCTTGTCACTGCTGCAAGGGTGACCCAGGGTTGGACCCACTGCTGCTGCATCCCAGTGTGGTCCAGCCAGCATCTCCCGTGACCCTCTGGGGTCCCTTTCCAGTGTGGGAACACAAGACCCCCACAGTCCTCAGGCTGTGAGAAAGGGGAGCAGGACTCTACGTGCTGCCAGGGTGAGCCTGTTCCCTGAGACTTGAAGCCCCACCTGGAATCCTGGGGTCAGGGCTGGGCCCCTCAGGACAAGAAGGACCTGGAGGGGCTGGAGCGTGTCCAGGGAAGGGCCCCGGAGCTGGGGAAGGGGCTGGAGCAGAAGGAGAAGGGGCTGGAGAACTTGTGAGGAGCAGCTGAGGGAGCTGGGGGTGTTGAGCCTGGAGCAAAGGAGGCTGAGGGGAGACCTGCTGGCTCTGCAGCTGCTGAGAGGAGGTTGGAGCCAGGGGGGTCGGGCTCTGCTCCCCAGGAACAAGGGACAGGACAAGAGGGAACGGCCTCAAGTTGTGCCAGGGGAGGTTGAGGTTGGATCTGGGGAACAATTTCTCCCTGGCAAGGGTTGTCAGGGCCTGGCCCAGGCTGCCCAGGGCAGGGGGGGAGTCCCCATCCCTGGAGGG